CCTCAACCATAAATGCGGGACCATTATCCGAAAGAATCCGCTCTAAACAAGAATGTTGGAACACCACTCATTTAAGGAGGAAATATCCAACAGTAGTTCCAAAGGCACTAGCAAGAGCACCAACTTCCACCCAATGAGTCAAGTAGTCAGAAGCAATAATAACATACTCATTACTAGCAGTCGACCGTGGAAAAGGTCCCATAAGATCAAACGCCACCAACTTAAATGGACGGGAAATTGCAATTGACTCTAATCGTCCTTCCGTGGCACAAAGGGGAGTATTACGAGCTTGGCACCAAACGCAGCTATACACATACCGGATAATATCATGTTGCATTTCTGACCAATAGAAAGACCTATGCAGCTTCTCGGTCACACAACGATGTCCCATATGCCCACCTAAAACAGGAGAATTATGGTAGGCATAGAGAAACCGTGGAATAAAAACAGAAGGCACCACCAGCCGTAAATGATCATTAGGATCCATCCCTACAAAATAAAAAAGGTTGTCTTCAAAGCGATATTAAGAATGTAAATGCCAAAAAGGCAAGTCATTAGCAAGTGATGCAGGATTTTTAAACCCATCTCGAAGCCTTTGAATCCATAACTCAATCTTTTGAGCCTCGCGAACCTCATCAAGAGAAGGTAGATCTTGTCCTACGCTTTGTGGACACTGAACATCAAGTACAGCAACTACCGTCAGCACAAAATCCTCATCTAGAAAATCCATAGATGCTGGAACAACAGGCTTGTCAGAAACATGAGAAGAGAGTGGAGAAGGAAGAGGAGCTCGAAAAAGGGCATCAGCATCAGCTATAAAACTCCCTGGGTGATGAATAACATCAAAATCATATATCCAAAACTTTAAAGCCCATCGAGCAGTATGACCAACCAAGTTCTTTCGCTTCAATAATGAAGTAACAGCAGCATAGTCACCTTCAAGTAACATCCGAAAACTATGTAGATATGCATGAAGTTTCTCGAAACCCCAGACTACTACTAAACACTCTTTTTCTATTGTGGAGTAATTCATCTCCACCGGTTGTAATGTACAGCTTATATATGCAATGGGATGACGTTGACTAGGCACACTTGAGCTCTCTTGCATTAACACCCCTCCAAAACCAATGTCATCCACGTGCAAAATAAAAAGTCGACTGTAGTTAGGATATGCCAAAACTAGAGGAGTCGTCAATAGATCTTTGAGATCCCCGAACGCCCGCTCACAATCCAGAGACCAAATGAAAAATGACGTTGATGACTTTAGCAATGCTCGCAATGGTGTAGTGCGATCAGGAAGATGATTCACAAAACGACCGAGATACTGCACCTTACCCAAGAAGCACTGCACATCATTCACACACTTTGGAGTATGGAACTTTAGAACAGCCACAAGTTTGTTAAGATCAACTTGCAAACCCTCACAAGAAATATAGTACCCAAGATAAGTTGTGTCTTTGGACCCAAACACGCACTTTGACCGCTTCAGCTTTAAACCAATGTTGAGAGCCAATCCAACACTTTACAAACATCATGAATGTGCTCCTCTTACGTCCCCTCCATCAAGATATCATCAATGAAGTCAGCAGTCACCTCCAGCATATCATAAAGAATCTCGTCCATCATCCGCTGGAAAGTTGCTGGAGCATTGTTCAAACCAAATGGCATCACCAAGAACTCATACAAGCCAAATGGTGTACAAAAAGCAGTCTTACAAATATCTTCTTCGGCCATCGGTACTTGCCAGTACCCAGAAGCAAGATCTAGTTTAGTGAACCAACGATTTCACCCCAGATGATCCAAGAGATCAATAATGTAAAGAAGAGGGTACACATTTAGGATCGTCACTTCATTTAACAGACGATAGTCAATGCAGAAATGAATACTCCCATCAGGCTTTATCATAAGATGAGGTTCACATGTCCAAAGACTCAGTGACTTCCGAATAACACCCTTTTCCAACATCTCCTTGACGTTTGCATGTAAAATCTTGATCTCTTTGGGTGACCGACGATGAATAGGAACCTTGATTGGACGAGCATCCCCGGTTGGAATCAGATGACGTGTGGCAATCTTAGCCCCAGACGATAGGTCAAATTCAAAGAAATCAGAATACTCCTTCATGAGCTAGTCAACCGCTGCAACACAAAGATCGTCGGGGATTGGAAAAGGGAAGAGCAGAACAAGATGGAAACACAGGAGGAAATAATAGGGGAACAAAAGTAATGGAAGCAGAGATAGAAGTAGAAAGACGAAGAGGTACGAAAGTGAAAGGAATGGATAAAACATAAGGAAGTATAAGACAAGGGGGAGAAGCTTCAAAGTCACACTTGGCATGATTGTGCTATAACTAATCCATACCAAGAATAAGGTCAAAAACTTGACTCGGCACCACCCACAATGACTGCAACTCAAGCTTGAAATCGCCCACATGCACAACTAGGTCCGCCTCATCTCGTGCACATGTATGTGTACGGCCGTTGCTATAAAAAATGAAAACTGGTTCTGCCACATGACGCAAGTGTAGACGACAACATGTGGCAACAGGTCGAGCAATAGAAAATAAACTTGAATCTGTATCAACTAACATAGAGAGAATAATAGGAGGCCTTTTATTATAAAAACGAGTTTGGAAAGTAAATACTAGATGAACCGGTGCCGAGTGAACCGCTTGATGATACTCCCGAAAGAAAGATGAAAGGGTCACTGACTTATTCACGCAAGGTCCCTCCGTTATTCGTGTGACTCCTCATTTCCCGGATGCATCTCGGTGTCCAAACCTTCCACTGCAATAGCACCAACGGGACATTGTTAACGCTAAGGTCTCCACCTAGGAAATGGAGGTCGCCAATCCGAAAAACGCCGACAACACCAATAAGTATGACCAACTTCATCACACGCCCACTCTTCGCTTGGCACAACGTTATAAGACGTCACCTCTTCTACTTCTCTCTACACGTCTTTCAGTTCCACTTCCTATGAGTGATGGTCTTGTTTTAATAGAGGTTGATGTTGCTGCTATTTGAGTCCAAGGACAAGGGCAAGGATGTGGTCATGGCCATGATGTTCGCTGCTAAGGGTGGCGGGAGGAAATGCATGCACAAGTTTAACAAGATCTTGACGAAGTGCTGGCCATAACATTCCTAGCTTGATCCGCTCCGACATATTGGGCTTTGCACGAAGCAAAAGATTTTGGAAACAAATGCCAAATTGCATCACTGACTCAGATGGCCCTTGGCGAAGACGATGCAATTGTTGGAAGGCATTATCACAATTGTCGGCATGGCTAAAAGCACGTTTGAAGACATTTGGGAGAACACTCCAATCCCCACGAATGGCTGCGCTCAAACCATTGTACCATTGCAATGCCATCCTTTGGAGACATGTGGGAAATTCACGCAAACATCGAGCATCATTCTAAGAATGATATGTGGCAATCACCATGAAATGATCGAACCAATGGTACACATCATCCTTAGGATTTCTGTGAAAGAACTCCGGCCAAATGCGAGGATTGGCACTAAAAGGAAGAGGAGTTGTACCACGTGCCGTGAATGCTGTCATCAATTGAGTTTAATTGTTCAATTGCAAGCACATAGCATTAAGCAATTGAACCAATTGCTACTCCAGAGTTAAAGGAGGAGATTGTTGATCTGCCATGAAGATGAATGAAAAAAAAAGAGCAAAAGAAGAGAAATGACAAAAAGCTAGAAGGAAATAGTAGATCTAAATAATGCAAAAAACTAAATTTAAACCAAAATTTTGAAAGGGAAGAACAAAAGAAAGGAAATGGAAAAAGCTAGATCTAAACGATGCAAAAGTTATATTTAAACCAAAATCCCAAATTCAAATACTCTTCAGGGACAATCAAAGGTGCCCTTTACCTCCACTAATGTAAATGCTTGGAATATAGAAAGGGAATATAGAAAATGTGCATATCAATTAACCCAAAAACCTCAATTTATATACAAAAGCAAGTGGTCCAAATTGAAACCAATCTGATGCTACCAAAATCTCACTACACTAATATTAGTATACCGCCATACACTTTGGCCTTCACAATTGTATATTTCCCAATTGCATCATATACTTTCCAAAATTATAGAATTTCTTTATCAAATTTGACAGAGAAAGGTATACAATTTTGTAAAGTTTGTAAAATTTATTGGACAAATTTGTGCAAATTGCAAAATTTAATGATAAATTTACTTTAATTGAAATATTTATTACATATGTTAATGATCATGGACAAATTGCATGACTCTGCTCATTGCAGAGAGATTAACTTCGAAAAGGTCACTTCAATTGGAGATGGAGGGGAGTATCTTGAAGCCAGCTTAAAGAGCATAAGATTCCACTCCCGGGGAGTCTTTGACTAAAACTCGTTTGGTGTCTGTTTTATTCCACCATTTCTCTGTATTTGGAGAGAGCTTCCCTGGAAAAGAGATACAATCAGGAGAAACTAGTGAAGAAAAATAGAATCCATCCAACCTTCGCAAATTCAGTTGGTTTTCATACTCCTGTAGCTTCATCTTCTGATTTCGAAGAGTCTAGCAAGAGAAAACAAACTTAGAAAAGTTCTATACAATGTCAAACTTACCAAGGGCTTGGAGCTGGCCGCATGAGGAGCCAGGAGCTGCTGGCACCTCTCGAATCGATTGCCAAGTTCATTTACCTAGAGAGCACCAATTGGTTCGTAATAAAAAATGTTTGCTCAATGCTACCAGATCATCCACGCGCTGGTCTCGCACTCCCCTCTCGGTAGCGTCAGCGATCGCCTCGATCAACTGGCAAGAACAAACAAGAGAAGTCTAGACTGTTATCAATGACAAGGAGTATTTACCGGGAACAAATGGAACTGCGACAGAAGATTGGGCGCGGCGCCGAGCTGGGGCTGCTGCTGCTGAACCATCGGCTGCTGCGGCATTCGCAATTGCTGCTGATGGATTCCTCCCGACGACCACGACATTGCTTTAACCACTAAAACCCTAGTCTATGGAATGGACAATGTAGCTCTTAAATTTCCTCGATTCACTCTCCCTGTGAACAATCCTCCAGTCGAGGATCATTCCCGGGCGATTAGCCTCGAATCCTATGCTGAGCGTATCAAGAGCACGTCCAGGAACAGGGATCCCTCCTCGGGGAAGCATCTCCACGCTGAGATCTTCCGAAGCGATCACTGGAACAATCGCTACCTCGCGAATCTGCTGGTGGAGATGTATGGCAAATGCGGCCTCGTTGGAGAGGCGCGCAAGGTCTTCGACGCTATCGAGGAGCCGAATTCCTTCTCCTGGAACATCATGGTCGCAGCCTACGCTCAAAACGGGCAGCTCGACCACGCCAAGAAGCTCTACGACCGGATGGCGATCAAGGACGTGATCGCGGGCAATGTCCTCATCACCGCATTCGCGCAGGGCGGGCGGCTGCGCGAGGCGAGAGATTTGTTCGATTCGATCCCCCGCCGCGATGCGGTGTCGTGGAACGCGATGATCCGGGGCTATGCCGTGAACGGGCATTTGGACGAGGCAAAGCAATGCTTTGCAAAGATGCCCAACCCTAATTCCGTGACCTGGACAACCATAGTGGCGGCTCTCGCGGAGAACGGTAATATCGACGATGCTAAAGCGATGTTTGACAACATGCCGGAGCGCAATGTGGTAGCCTGGACGTCCATCGTTGCGGCATATGCACAAAACGGGCATCTAGACGAGGCAAGAGAGCTCTTTGAGAAGATGCCGCATAGAAATTCCTATTCCTGGAACACAATGATCTCCGTCTACGTCCAAAACAAGGACCTCCACGAAGCCAAGAGGATATTCGACGCGATGCCCGGAAAGAACCTCGTATCTTGGACCCCGCTTATATCGGCATATGCCCAAAGCGGGCATCTGGACGAGGCAAAGAGGCTCTTTGACGAGATGCCACAGCCGGACGTGGTGCTGTGGACAGCCATGATCAAAGCATATGCGGAGAATGGGAATATTACCGAGGCCCGGCGTACCTTTGACCTCATGCCACAAAGGAATATTGTCACCTGGAACGTGATGCTGGCGGCGTACTGCCAGGTCGGCCTCTTGCGTGACGCCACGCGACAGTTCGAGGAAATGCCCGAGCGGGACCTTGTGTCGTACACAACGGTCATTTCAGCTGAGGCGCAGTACGGAAGGCTTGAAAGGGCCAGAGCTTTGTTTGACGAGATGCCGCTGCGGGATATCGTGGCATGGAACACTATCATCGCGGCATATTCTCAGGCTGGGAATCTGTCCCAAGCAAGGAATCTATTTGAAAAGATGAGCACTCACGACGTAGTGAGTTGCAACATTATGATCGATGCGTATGCCCGCTTGGGCTACTTGGAAGAAGCGAAAAGGGAACTTGGAAAAATGCCCAGGCAAGACGTGATCTCCTGGACAACACTTATTACAGCATATGCCTTCTTTGGGTATGTGGAAGAGGCCAAAGCGTTGTTTGATTCCACCCCAGAAAAGAATCTTCTGGCGTGGAACACGCTGCTAGAAGCGAACTGCCAGCACGGCGAACTGGATGATGCCCGGGCATTGTTTGAGAATATGCCAGAGTGGGATACCATATCCTGGACGATCATGATCACGGCATATGCCCACAAGGGGCATATTGCCCAGGCGCAGCGCTTCTTCGACGGCATCCAGCACCGCGACGTGGCGTCCTGGAACGCGATGATCGTCGCCTATGCCCTAAACGGCTACCGGGCGCGATCGATCGAGCTCCTGGGCGAACTAGGCGTCGCGGGAATGGATCCCGACGAGGTGACATTCACAAGCGTCATGGGCGCGTGCGGCCACGCGGGGTCCGTGGACGCCGCCCGGGATTACCTGCGATCGATGCGAGTGGATCGTGGATTGGCGCCCCGGGAAGAACACTACGCGTGCGTGATCGATGCGCTGTGCCGCGCGGGGCAGATCCATAGGGCCGAGGATCTAATCGCGAGCATGCCGTTTCTTCCGGGGATCACGGAGTGGACGAGTCTGATCGCCGCGTGTAAGTCGCAACGCGACGTGGAGAGGGTGCTCGCGCGGGTGTCCGAGCTGGAGCCCCACAACTCCGAGGTGTACGTGCTCCTCTCCAATAGCATCATGCCACGGAGCGAGAGGGTGACGTCGGTGTGACGGCACGATGGAGGCGTGCAAATGGTGCTGACGTGGACAACATCTGGCAGTGATGTGGACTTTCTTGTACGTTTTTTTCCAAGAGATGGGAGGAAAAGAGCTCCACGCCTAGAGCCTAGGTTTTTAGTACTCGCGCGGTTGGCCGGGAATTTCCAGCTCCAGGTATTTTGCTCTCAAACCCTAGCGATCCGGCGCCGTGCGCGCGACGGCGGCTCCAGAATTCCTGGTGAAATATCAATGCATTTGAGCTGCTTGATCTTCTGCCATGGAAGTCGAGGCGGATGCTCCGGTCCAGGAATCTAGTGAATCCGAGGCCCCGAAGGAGGCGGAGGTAATGGAATCGCAGGACGCTGTTTCCAGCTACAGAGTTGTAGATGCGGTTGCAGAGAGCGAAGGGGATTGGCCGGGGCCAAGATGTGGGCACACTCTCACAGCTCTCGCTCCAATTGGCAAGGAAGGCACTGCCGTCTACATTGCCCATCGCCTTGTGCTGTTTGGAGGTGCCACGGCTCTGGAAGGAGCATCTGGAACTGGACCGCCCCTCTCGCCGTCTTCTGGAGACCCAGGAATCAGTAAGTGTTGTTCTTCGTTCTTCCTTTTGTTTTCTCGGGAATTAATGAGTCCCGTGATCTCCAGGAATCGCTGAAGTCACTGCAAACGTCCATTGCTTTGACACTGCTTCGAAAAAATGGCAAAAGTATGTTACTCTCTATTTTTTTGCGTCTTTCTTTTTGTTGTTACTTCTTTGGACGATTCTCTTATGGTCGATGCGAATTTTGCAGGCTCAATCCTTCAGGTATCGCTCCATCTCCAAGAGCTGCTCATGCTGCAGCGGCAGTGGGTCCGATGGTTGTTTTCCAGGTACGTGTTTTACTTTCGGAGAACTTTGCAAATGGTTTTGCATTGTAGGGTGGCATCGGTCCTGCTGGACTCTCATCGGATGACTTGCATGTCTTGGATTTGTCTCAGCCCGAGGCAAAATGGCATAGGTAGAAGATTTCATGTAACGGGAATGTTGCTTGACTTTTATTCTGCAGGGTGGTTGTCAAAGAAGGACCACGGCCAGGCCCACGCTATGGGCATGTTATGGCACTAGTTGCACAATTCTTGATACTGGTTTCTGGGAACGACGGTACAGTTATGAGTGCTAAGGCTTTCAAGTTTATAAGCGATGTATACTTGAGCAGGTGTTCGACTTTTCTCGGATGTTTGGGTTCTAGACACGACGAAGAAGCCTTACCAATGGGAGAAGGTTGAAGCCGGTGGCGATGGACCTCCGCCTTGCATGTAGGTTCATGGGTAAACATCAAACCCCGTCACTTTTTCTTGTTCTAACTGCGCTGACGCTCATTATCAGGTATGCAGCCGCAAGCACACGAAAGGATGGCGTACTTCTATTTTGCGGTGGGAGGGATTCAATCGGTGTGGTAAGGTTTCTACACTTTCCCATTAAACAAAGTCCCTGATGCCTGACTTTGTAGCCTGTTCCTGGTATATATCGTCTTGTGAGGAATCAAATTGGGCACTGGCACTGGGATAGGTTGCCTGGGACCTCACCTTCTCCTCGGTATCAGCATGCAGCGGTATATTGCTTCCACTTATCTTGAAAATATTAACTCTCCTCTATTTGAAGGCTTTTGCAGATGCCAGATTTCACATTTCTGGCGGAGCTCAAGGGCGTGGACATATTGTGGATGACGCGTCGTCTTTTGCAGGCAAGTCGTGGAACCCGTTTAATCAAACAGCTTACTTTTTTTGTTCAATCTAACAGTTTTTGATACTATTTCGGGAGTCTGGTACGAGGCTAAGTCCACTGGTGCCTCCGATGAGTCTCTTGCACTCACTAAACGTTGTAGACATGCTGCGGTGGGCCTGGGGAAGACTATGTACATTTATGGCGGCTTGAAATCAGGTGACATTCTCCCCTCACATGCCTTGTCTATGTTCTCATTATGTACTTGTAGTTTAGGTGTACTGTTTAGTGACCTGCTGGTTGCTGACGACGAGAAGCTGGAGGCTGCTTGCCGTCGGAACGAGAGCAGAGCGACCATACGGTAATTGTATGTTTTCCGAAGTCTTAAATAGCTTCAACTTTAAAATCTTCAGGAGAGATCCGAACGATCTTCATCTTTTGGTTGAAGCATCGGCTGCTGAGGCCGCGGCTATCACCGCTATCATGGGTAAGGTACAAAGCCAAAATAACGGGGTTGCAGTTGAAAGTGTCTCGCCATCTTCCGACTTACCTATGCCCAATGCCATGCCCGGCTCGGACGTTCGACTTCATCACAGAGCGGTAAGTAAAACAGTGAAGAATGGATCTAATGCAGAGGTGGTGTTCTCCGATTGCTCTAGATTGTTGCCACAGAGCCGGGAGGTGGAACGTTACGAAGTCTAGTGAGGCAGCTCTCCTTGGACCGTTTTGAAAACGAGGGACTAGGGGTCACTCGTGAAATTTCGAAGAGAGTCTTAGAAAGACAAATTTCAATGTACGGTGTACATAAGAAGGTGTGTTTCTCTGCTCGTTCGATAAGTTCGTACTTACCAGGATACTGTTTTCAGGTTTTGGCTCTCTTGTTAAAGCCCCGAGAATGGAAACCTTCCTTGCGGAGAAATCTATTTCTTGAGTTCAACGAGGTTCTAGAGCTCTGTGACTCGGCAGAAAACATTTTTAGAGCCGAGCCTAATGTTCTAAAATTGAAAGCTCCCGTCAAAATTTTTGGCGACATCCATGGGCAATTTGGAGATCTGATGCGCTTGTTTAACGAATACGGATCGCCGTCTACAGCCGGAGATATTTCGTAAGACTTTTCTACAAGGCTTTTCTTTGGTTTTAACACATTGTAGTACTGGCTACAGGTACATTGATTATCTTTTCCTTGGTGACTACGTGGATCGTGGGCAACATAGCCTGGAAACTATTTTCTTGCTGCTAGCATTGAAGGTAGCACTTTACATTTATCACGCAGACTGATAAGTTCTCTCACTGGTTTTAGATTGAGCACCCTGAACACGTGCATATGATTCGAGGCAACCACGAAGCTCAAGACATCAATGCGCTCTTTGGCTTCCGCACCGAGTGTGTAGAACGAATGGTTTGTGTGCGTTTCTACAGTGCACTGTGGCGCCTAACTATTGAGCTTTTGGACAGGGCGAGTGGGAAGGAGTATGGGCCTGGCACCGCATGAACCAGCTCTTCAACTGGCTGCCCCTTGCCGCAGTGATAGAGGAAAAAATTATCTGCATGCACGGTGGGATTGGCAAATCCATCAACCACATTTCTCAGATCGACAACCTTGTTCGTCCAATCACAATGGATACAGGATCCAATGTCCTGATGGATCTTCTTTGGTAAGCTGGGCGGTTCTGTCATCTTCAAGCGCCTGACTTGTGTTTGACAGGTCCGATCCAACTGAGAACGACAGCATCCAAGGCATTCAACCAAACGCTCGTGGACCAGGCCTGGTTACGTTTGGCGTAAGTAACTCTCGATTGGAACAAAACTTGCTCATGGAGTCATCGTCGTTTTGCAGCCGGACAGAGTGATGGACTTCTGCAATAACAACAACCTGGACTTGATCATCAGAGCGCACGAATGCGTGATGGATGGGTTTGAACGATTCGCCCAGGGGCACCTGATAACTCTCTTCTCTGCGACAAACTACTGCGGTTAGTCCGTCAATCTTCTCTTTTGCGTGGCCTTTGAGCGTTTCGAGCTCTTGCAGGCACGGCCAACAATGCGGGAGCGCTCTTGGTCCTCGGGAGAGACCTCGTCGTTGTGCCAAAACTGATCCATCCATTGCCTCCGTTCGACGAGGACGAGATGGACGTGACATGGATGCAGGTGAGAAAAAACGAGATGAAAAGCTTGGCAATGACGACATGGTTTTGTGTGTATGATCTCAGGAGTTGAATGCCCAGAGGCCGCCGACGCCAACGAGAGGAAGACCGCCGTCTGTGGCGGATCGAAGCTCTCTGGCTTACATCTAACGTGTAGTTTGTATCGTCGTTTGGTTTCGTCCTTGTACATTCCAGATGGATTAGTTCTCCAACTGTTTTACAAATTCTTTCAAAGTGCTCACGAAAGGATAGTGTTATAGCATAAACGAACAAATAAAAAACTTCAAAACTTCGAAAGATAACGTCTAAGATCAGAGTGGCGCAGCGGAAGCGTGGTGGGCCCATAACCCACAGGTCGGAGGATCGAAACCTCCCTCTGATAATTTGACAGTCTAATTTTTCGACCTTTAAAAACTATCAAAATACACACTATCCGAAAAAATTCACAAAAAGTATTTCTACTGCTTGGAAATATTCTTATCGTATCCACAGGTTTTAGGGCGGCATGGCGATGGCAATAGGAGTGTTGCGGCTCGCAAGCCCAGTGCTGCCCCAGCAGCAGTCGATAGCTGTGGTGCCCATGGCTCACACTGGCCGGAAAACCAGGAAGGGCGCCAAGATAATGAAGTCGATCTACTCGCCTGCTGGCTTTAACATCCGGCGCATCCGACTGCGAAAGAAATGGAGCGAAAATCCCCCTCCCACCGACGCCCCCGCGTCGCCGAAATCGCCCAGGCCTTCGCCCAAGTCCGCCCGGGCCAGCCCAGACAAATGTAAGTGCCAAACCACCACTTCTTTCGTCAAATTTCAACAAATTCGTGTGTTACAGCAGCAGAGACAGCAGTCGCGACCCCGGAAGCAAGCCCAGAAGCGGCAGAGGCAACGACAGCAACTGCATCGAGCGAGGCTTAGCCACTCCCCTGTTTTTAGGGTTCTTCGCGAGAACCGTTTATCAATTCGTAAAAACAAAAAATCTCTATTTACATGAGAGCAGTAGTTGGGCTCTACTCTGAGATCGAACGCTCCAGCGGATGATAGGGCCGTGGAATGCAAAATTCCCCTCCACCGACACTGCCAGCCTTGAATTTCAGAGGCTCAATCTCTCTTAGAGTAGACCTCATCCAGTAAAGGAATTGCCTCTTGAAGCCTCCTCATGCCATATTTTCCATTTTCAATTGGAAAAGTAACTCTAAAGGAACCAATGTTATTCTTGTGTAAGTTCTCTTAGTCCAAGTATCTGCAAAAAAACATCATAAAAGGATAAAAAAAGAAATTTTTGGTTGGAATTTGCATAAAATATAACTTTACATTTTTGTACTTGATAATATTTATTACACAATAATATTATAATATTTAATATAATATTTATATTATTTATTACATAACACCATTAAATATAATATTGTAATTTTAGTGTGAGAAAACTTTGAAACATAACATAATAAAGAATCAATACAATGAAAGAATAATGTTTGGAAAGCTAAACTTTAAAATTGTAGTCATAAAAAAAGTACTATTAACTAAAACGTTTTTAATAGCTATATTTTGTATAATATTTTTTAAAAAAAATTCTAATTTAGTAAAAGGAAGCATTTAGTGAAATTTTGGAAATTAAAAAAAATAGTTGGAATGAATATCAACTTTAAAAATATAATTTTCTTTATATATAATTTATTTATAGTTTTAAAGTTTTATTTTTAAATTCTAGCTTTATTTCTTTTTGTTTTGACACATTTTTCAGAAACTTAAAGCTAAAACAAAGTTAACAAGTTTTTATATATGTATTTATATCAAAATGTAAAAATTTTAATAGTAGTATTAGGTTTCTTACTTTGGACTGTAATCTTTAAAATATATGAACAATGGAGTTCAGGTCGACATGGGGAGCATGGGGTTTTTCCAAAGATTATTATTGAAAAAAAAATTAATGAAAACTTAAATAACATTAAGATATAAACTAGCATTTTATTGTAACAAATATAAAATAAAAATTATATTATAAATTTACATAATAAATATTAGTAAGTATGATATAGTTTTATTAATATATATACCATTTGTAACAGAGTATTTCTCATTCAACCCCAAAATGAAAAGTGCTCTTGTAGCATTTGCAAAAGTTGAACTTTATGATATAGTTTACCTCCCAAAGTTTTAAGTTTTCTCCATTACTCCTAATCAACAATTTACCATTTGCACATTTTTGACACTTATAATAAACTTGATGAACCACTTGCCATACCTTACCTGAAGTGGTAGCATTCTTCACAATCAAAACATCCTCAAACCTAACTCATTCAATCAAAATCATCATTGAGGCGATATAAACATCCTTGAAGTCCTCTACATGCATTTGTATCTCATTTGTTATTCTGGGGACAACTTCCCAAATTCTACTTCATTCAACTGTGATTGCAACAACCCCTTTCCAATTACTAACCCAAGAACCTTTGGGTTATTTATTTCAACTTTGTCTCAACAATTGAGAACCATCTAAAAGCATTCTCATGTGACGAAAGAAGCTTTGATCCCTTAGATCCACTAGATTTCCTTATCACTTAAAGATCAGTGTCCCTTGTAGTCACACCTTTTAATGGCAACCTCTTCACAACCTCCTCACCAATTAAAGCACCGACTTAAGAAATACTTAATTCTCTATATTGATCAAAAGGATAGAACTTGCCTCCATAAGTCCAACAGAAGACTTAGATTCCTGTGAGTTGCTTCTGTAGTCGTTTGCAAAGAACTGGATCTAAAAAAGCCTTGATTTCTTTGTGTTTTAGCAGATTAAATTCAAACAGATGCATTAAGAATTGAATTGATCTCTCAGAGAACAATCGCTCTCGAGAACTCCCCTGCTCTTTCCTTGTAAATTAGATCAATTTCTTGTTTTCTCTTTCACAGGTGGTAAGTTGTAGAAAAGCTTTCTCATAGATTAGTTTTAACTTGTAATATCAATCTGCCAGAAGAGAGAAATTCTCATGTGAGCATGATCATAACCTACAGGGTTACGAGATCGCCTATTACGGGCTGTAGTCGTCCCTGGAAATCTCCTGAATCCTGGAAGGAAGAAATGTTTGTAAGAAGTTTGTGATCTATAGAGATTATAAATCATGAGAACTCACAAGCTTACAAGTATAAATACATATCGTAAAGCACTGATTCCAATTTACATGCACACCCATCTTCTCATATGGAGGCACTGGATGGATTGAACTCGGTACAACAGCAGGGTCTCTCCCGGGGTCTCGATTCCTCAGAGAAAACCGCAAGTTTTGTGAGGCTTCTCCAGCAGCATGGAGACCAGAAATCGCTGTCAGCCGGGAGGCATCTTCACTCTCAGGTGGCAAGAGCAGGACTTGACAGAGACACATACCTTGGAAATCTCATTGTGAGAATGTATAGCAAGTGTGGAAGCCTCGATGACGCTCGCCAAGCATTCGAGAGGATTCATCGCCCGGACTCCGTCTCCTGGAACAGCATCATGGCCGCTTATATAAAGTGCGGGGAGATCGAACAAGCCAGGCGGGTGTTTGATTCCATGCCCAGAAAGAGCATCGTCTCGTGGAATGCGATTATTGTTGCATATGCCCAGTCTAGGCATATGGAGATTGCAAAAGGCTTGTTTGACGCGGCACCTTGTAAAGACGTGGCTACGTGGAACGGTATCTTGACAGGATATGCGGACAATGGTCTTGTGAGCGATGCGAAGAATGTTTTCGAAAAGATGCCGGAGAGAAATGTAGTGTCGTGGAATGCTTTGATTGCAGCATTGGCCAAGAACTGGCATTTTGACAAAGCGTTCGCGGCATTTGCGAGGATGGACGTCCAGCCCAACGCGGTGACGTTTGTGACGGTGCTGGACGCGTGCGTCGGCGCCGGGGCGACGGGCGGGGGACTAGCTGCCGGCCGTCACGTCTTCGCCCGCGCCACGGCCATGGGAATGGTGGGCGCCGAGATCAAAGTGGGCAACGCGCTCGTCAACATGTTTGCCAAGTGCGGCAGCCTCGAGGACGCCAGGGCGACGTTCGATCTCATGCCCCGGAAGAACGCCCGGTCCTCCACGATCATGATCGCCGCGCTGGGCAGCTTTGGGCGATTGGAGGAGGCGCGATCGGTGCTGGATTCCATGGAGATCAAGACGCTCTTCGCGTGGAATGCGATGATCAGCGCTTATGCCCAGGCCGGCCGCGCGCGCGACGCCCTAGAGACGTTCGAGCGCATGGACGTGGAGCCCGACTCCATCACATTCATCGGCGTATTGGAGGCCGCCAGCTGGACGGGTGACCTAAGCACCGGCCTCCACGCACACGCCAGCATGGCACGGTGTGGCATCCACGTAGACACCCACGTGGGCAACGCGCTGGTTAACATGTACGGCAAGTGCGGCAGTGTGGCGCACGCCAGGGAGGCGTTTGAGGCGGTGCGTGACAAGAACGTGGTGACTTGGACGTGCATGATATCGGTGTATGCCCAGAACCGGCATGCCAGCGCGGCATTCCGGACGTTCCAGCTCATGGACCTCCACGGTGTCGCGTCCAACGAGGTGACGCTCGCTAACGTGGCAGACGCATGCGCCGAGCTGGCTGAGTTCCCTGGCATGGCCAAGGCCGTACACGAGGTGGCCATGGAGTTGGAGCTAGACCGCGACGTGGTTCTTGGGAGCGCGCTTGTTACCATGCACGGCAAGTGTGGTAATCTCGGCGCCGCGCGGCGGGCATTCGATCGGATCGAGCGGCGGAATCTCGTCTCCTGGACGGCGATGATCGCGGCGCTGGCCGAGAATGGGGATCGCGAGGGTGCCTGGGATCTCTTCCGGGCTATGGAGCTGGAAGGGATCGAGCCGGACGAGGTGTGCTTCATGGGAGTCCTGGCGGCGTGCAAGAACGCGGGCGAGATCCAGACCGGATTCGAGTATTTCCAGTCCATGACCGAGGATTACAGCATGGATCCATCGCCGGGGCACTATACCTTCTTGATCGATCTGCTAGCGCGATCCGGGAAGCTGGAGCTCGCCGAGGATCTGATCCGAGGCATGCCATTCGAGCCCCAGGCGTGGACGTGGACGTCCCTGCTGGGGGCTTGCAAGATCCACTGGGACGAGCGGCGTGGGGCGATGGCGGCGCAGCGCGCGCTGGTGATCGATCCGCGCAGGACGGCGGCGTATGTGATCCTCTCCAATATTTGCGGCAAGAACAGTGTGGGAGTATAAAGAACAGAAAGAGGGGCCAGGAAATATTTAGGGTTTGTGCCCTTCTTCCTCTTTCTTGTTTTGGCGCTCGATCGATCGCAGCGATGGTGAGCCGCTTTGCTACTCTCTATGTGTTCTAACCCGTGCTCTTCCATGGCAGAGTGGATCGCCAAGGCGTGGCGGAAGAAGGTACTCCTTTTCTCCTCTTCTTTCTCTCCGCGCCTAGGTTTTCTTACGCCCGCGCTTCTTTCTCAGGTACTCGTATTCTCCATCGCCTCGGAGAGGGCGCTCCAGGTCGAGGAGCCCGCCACATTGCAGAAGGTATCACTCGTTCGTTCTTTCTTTCTTGTTTTCTTGCTTTTCTCTTTGTTTTGGCTAAGTAATGCACAGCAGCTATAGGGGCGATGGCCGCGACAAGGACGACGAGATCTCGTGCAATCCCGGAAACAATCTCTACGTTACTGGGCTCTCGACTCGAGTGACTGAGAAGGACCTCGAGGACTATTTCTCGAAAGAAGGCAAGGTAAGCGTTATGCTTTTTCGATTTTGGTGTGATGAGTTTTGATTTGTTCTTGGTTTTTGAGTTCCAGGTAGTGGAATGCAGGCTTGTGGTGGATCCTCGAAGTCATGAATCGAGGGGGTTTGGGTTTGTGGCACTAGAATCTCTGGACGATGCGGAACGCTGCATAAAACGTTTGCACCACTCCAATCTCGAGGGCCGGATCATCACAGTTGAAAAGGTACTCTACTCCAAGCCGTGATGCTTCTCCAAAAATGGTGGTCACGATTCATCAATC